GCTGTATATATGAGTTCTAGTAGAGATTGCAACATTTGATGATATAAAATCTTTGTATATACTAGTCAATATTTCTTTTTCAACATATCAACATTCTGAAACAGTTTATGCTGATTTCTCATAAGAATATCAGTGACTTCAATAATCTCTACATCTGTCAGAATACTAATTCTTCTGATCTGATAGTTGATTCCATCAAATATTATCACAGTTTTTATATTCATTAAAGTATATACTTTTTTATGATATTTACATATCTTCTGTTTTAGAGTATATACAAAGATGGTTTCATTTATACAAATATTCTTCTGCACAGTCATCATTTGTTAACAAAATGCAAGTAGATCAGATGCAGTCATTATAATCATGCTATTGATATTGAAGGCAGGAATTGAAATAAAGTCAGAATTCAGACTAAAAGTCTTATCATTTTCTGATAATTCATCACATATAGATCTTTTCTCTATATCATAAGTTAAGCTGACTTCTTTCATTACTTCTTCTATCAATATATATTCAATTTCTTCTTTGTTCACAAAACTGAGCACTATGTTCTCTACTTCTTCATAGAGTGTAGAGAAAATTTCTAAAGTCTTTGAATGAAAATATAGAAATTTCTTCCATTTTAATTAAGAAGTAAATAGTAATCTACCCATTTAGTCACAAGGCTTGAATATCCTCAGATTAAAATTTTTAAAAAAAGAAAAAAAAATAGGAAAAAGAGAAAAATGATATTTTTGTTTTGATTTCTTTATAGATGTGATCACTTTCTCACAATAGATAGAATTCTCTTGAGATCTTCTAATTTTTAGTGTAAAAAAAAAGCATTTTTAAAGAAAATCTAGTTGAACTCATTCAATATTGTGTTAGTTGCAATGTATTCTAGTTAAAATATCTTGTTTTGCTTAAAAAACTACTATCTAGGCCATAATCTGTAGAATGATTGAATCTCTCATATTGAAAGGTCTAGCTAGCTATCTAATATACGCTATATCACGTGCGGCTGGGCGGCAGCCCGGGCCACATACACTCAACATTTGATAAGTCTTTAAATCAGTCTTCTTGAAGATTTTAAACTTTCAGAATAATATATGAAAGTAGAACTTAGTCTAATATATTGATAGACTTGATTATAATAACTTATTTATAATTTTCAGACTATAGCAGCTTTACTCACTCATAGCACTGAGTACTAGTAATAATTTTGATGATAGTATATATTTTCATTACAAAGTTAGTCTTATTAAAGTTGTATATATCTTTAGTTTAAATTTTATACTCTATCAAAGTATTCTTTAGAATTTTAAATCAATTCTGAATAACTTTGATAATCTTATATTTTACTTATTTATAATTATAGTGTCTGATATAGTTATATTAAAGCTTTATACAATATTTAATCAGTCTTAAAATCTAGTTCTTATCAATGTAATAAGAGGTAAAAATGAATTATCATTGAATAAGAAAATGATCGATCATATTCTCTACAAAGACTAATCAAAAAAATAATTCTTATTTAGATAGATTTAACATTTATTCAACTATCAGATTCTCTTCAGCCTTAGTCAGCTTAGTTAAATTTATACGTAAATTTATATGTACAGACCAGCTCTTCAGTTGATGATATAAAGTGGTGTAGAGAACATTGAATAAGTATATAGCTTCAGCAGTTAAGATTATTTCTTACTTTTTAATAGCAGATATTATAAGTTCAATTCTTCTCTCTATTTCTATAAAGTTTCTTGCTTTTTTATTAGAAATTGATGACATAATTACACATTGAAGTGAATGAGTTTAGAAAATTGAAATTATTTAATTTAATCTTTTACTTGATAGAGAATTTCACTCAATGAGAAATTATATTAACTAAGTTAAATTATCTTCTTTAACTTTCTATTGGATATCAGATGATAACTGAAATTTCACTAGTTTTTACTTAGTAATAGAGTTTGATTTAACACTTTCAAAATCATTCTTTTCAACATACTACTATTAATTTAAGAAAATGCAAGAAATTCAATATAAAATAAAAAGAAAATTTGAATTTATAATTTCTACTTTCACAAAGTAAGAAATACTTTCAATTTATAAAGCTATTTGTTTATATAATATTTTAAACTTTACTCTTCTTAATAAAAAATCAGTTTTTATAAATGAAAAACAATTAGTTAAGTTAAAAGAAAATCTACTAATTTAATAAAATTTAAATTTAAATAAAAATTACATGTTTAATTAATATTTAATTAATAATATAATAAATTATTTTTTTATTTATAATATTTTATTTTAAATCTTTTTTACATTGATATAAAATCTAGATTTATAAGCTAATAAATACTAACTAGTTAGTTATAACTAAAGCTTATTATAATTTAAAATAATTATAATTTTATTAAATATAAAAATAGAAAATTTATTTAAAAATAATTTATAATTTCAAAAAATAAAATTTCTAGATATATATTTAATCAAGAGATATATTTAACTTTGATAAAATTCAATTTGCAATAAAACTAAATATAATTATAAAATTATTATTAGTGTTAAGTATTTATAATCAAATAAAGCTCTTATAACTTAAAACATATAATATAATCAATAAGTGAGTTAGTCATATAAGCAAGTCAGCTACTTTTCATCTCATCTCAGAACAACATCTTTATCATCAAAAATGCCAATCACACAAAGAAATAAAGTCTTTACTCAGGAAGGAAGGCTTCTTTTAGCCATTCAAATATTTAAAAATGATCAAATTTCAAGTATATGAGCTGCAGCAAAGCTGGTATGATGTTTTACATTTCATTTTAAATAATCAAATACATAGTCATATAGTATATATTAACACTCTCTCAAAGAACTGAAAACTTAGTCTTACAAAGGAAGAATCTCTTGTTCAATGAATTTCAATCATAAATAAGTGAGATGTGCCATTTTGAGGTGCAGCTGTATAAGAAATGGTCAATCTTCTTCTTACTAGTTGAGGATTCAACCTCCCACCCACAGTGGGTGAATGCTGAGTATGAAACTTTGTCAAACATCATGAAGAGCTGAAATTTAAGTTCTTCTGCAAGTATGATCATCAACATGCACTATATGAGGATTCTGAGATTATCTATAAGTGATTTAGACTCATACAAAACATTATTGCAAAGTATGAGATTCTGAAAGATGATATCTACAACTTTAATGAGACTGAATTTTAGATGAGAGTTATTGAGACTGTCAGAGTGATTACTGAGTCTGAAAGAGCCAGGAATTTCAAGCTTGTACAGTCTAAAGATTGAAAATAAGTGACTATCATTGCTGAAGTCAATGTCTCTGACTGAGCTCTGCATACAATAATTATTCTCAAGAAAAAAATGCATCAGTTCTGTTGGTATGAGACTGAGAAACTGCCCAGGAATTGAGTAATTGAAGTCAGTGAGAATGGCTGGACAAATGACCAGCTGGGCTTGTACTAACTGAAAGAGATGTTCAACAAGAAAACTCTACTCTGTACAAAGAGTACATATTGACTGTTGATTTTGAACTAGTATAGAAGTCATGCCTCTGCTAAATTTGATCAATTCTGCTCTGAGAATTAGATCATTGCTCTCTATATGCCATTTCATTTCTCTTATCTTCTCCAGCCATTAGATGTTGGCTGCTTCTCTCCTCTGAAAACAGTGTACAGATGACAGATAGAGAATCAGATGCAGCTTGAAATCAATCATATTGACAAAAAGAAGTTTCTGATCCTATATCCTGCAGCTCAGATGCAGGCCCTGACTGAGAACAACATCAAGAGTGGCTTTAAAGCAGCTGGATTGGTTCTGTATGATCCTAAGCAGGTTCTCTTACGCCTTAATACAACACTATATACCCTTATCCCCTGAGATCTTTCACAGCTCCCAGGCCTCCTGGGCCACCACCACATCACATAATGTATGTCAATTGGAGCAGCAGACTGAGAAGGTCAAAAAATATATCAAGTGCTGTACACAGAGTCCACCCAGTCCAAGCAATTGAGCTCTGAGTCAGCTGGTCAAGGGATGTCAAATGACAATACACAGTGCTGCTATTCTAGCAGCTGAAAACAGAGAGTTAAAAGCTGCAAATGCTAAACAAAAGAAGAAGCAAGAAAGAGGCCATACATATGTAGCTCAAGAGGGTGCTTTAGAGGTTGAAGAAGGCTTGAATCACGTATGAAGCATCAATGAATGGAAAAGAGGGGTGATTGAGGCTGCTGAGTCCTGACCACAAAAACAGACAGCACCATAGTGTAGTGTATGTGGGATTACTGGGCATACTGCTCATACATGCTCTAGGCATATAGAAAATAATTGATAATATAATTCTTTCTCTTTTTCTTTATGATTGAGGCATAGATGCATTCTCATCATATAGTGGGGTGAGAAGTGGCTGACTTGCTTATGTGGCCGACTCGCTTATTGATTACGTTAAATAACTATAATTAAAATGTTAATATGTTAAAATAAGTTTTATCTTTATATATTTACTGTGAATGAGAAAGAGAAGCAAAGGCATACAAGATCTAGCTACTGAATTCATTGTGAAGGGCCCTTAACTAAGGAAGAAGCCTAGGATCTTATTATTCTGCCTGATATGCCTGTTGAATAACCAGTCAGTCCGCACCAATTCATAAGTTCTACCACGGTGCCGCAATTGCAATACGCTTGGACGTAAGAGAATTTACTGCTCTAATCCTATAATAATTTAATTTAATTTTATATATTGTTGAGTGTAGATAATTTGAATTAAAATATAGGTGGCTCAGTAGGGTGATTCACTCAGTCGTGAATTACATTATATCCATGGGTTTATAATAAGATAGATCAAGATCAAGACGCAAAGAAGAATATATACTATACAAAATGGTACCCAACATGAACCGGGAAAAATCCCCGCAAATACTCTATTACCTACTAACCCTCACGACTCACTCTAAGAATTCAAAAGAGATATAAAACTAACATCCTGACGCCAAAACTATAGGGGAATCATGTTAAAATGATGTCATACCCGTCTTGCTGAATATGTACCATGTCTGCATCGACTCCATATTTACGACGCACCAGCTCAAAAATCACAAGACCAGCACTGGTGCTCGGCACCTGACGAACAGCACTCAAGAAAAATCCCCCGAAGAACCACGGACGCCAACCTCCTGCACGCAACACCCGCAGTTGACACCGTCTATACAGCTCCAGGTATGCTTCATAGTGGTACTTCATCATCTTCCTTCCAGAATGATCCAGTTTAGCCATAGCATCAATATGCTCCAAGCGTTCGTAGTAAACGTTCTGCACCAGGGTCAGGGGATGCTGTACAAGCTGCTGTGCAAGAGACGCGGTGAGACCTGCCAGCAACAAGAAACACGGCTCTAGTGCATAGTGCGGTCGGACGTGTGGAATATCTACATTTTCGGTGCCCAATGATGCGGACAGTTTCTCGACTTGGTAAGGCTGAAGTGAACCGTAGCAGTACGTGATGAAAGAGAAGTATCCCTGAGCCTTGATGGTTTCGAACACGCCGAAAAACAGCGCAGATCCGAAGGCATCCTTTAGGAATGACAGGCCCCAGCCGGAGAAAATGCCCTTGACCCCGATTTCATGTAGCTTGTGCTTTCCATATTGCCATACGTTCCTGTACTGCCCCTTTATCATAACGTTGGTGTCAAATCGAACCTGTAGCGCGTCTAGTGGAGCTGCAATAACAGACTGTATACCCCCAGCAGCAAACCCGGCTGTGAAGGTCAAGCTTGGCCCCGGTGGTGGGTATACGCGTTTGCTCGCTTGTAATGTGGGTTCATGTAGTCCGGCTAATATTTGAAGGTATGAAGTATACAGAACTGCCCCAACTCTGTCACAAGCATCATTGATATCAGTCAATGTTCTGTGCTTGCAGTTTTCCAATTAAAAAATTCAAATCGTTAAGTGGTAACCAACCCAACGTTTGCCAGGAGTGGAGGAAGGACCTGGTCCGGAATGAAACGCCAACCGTAGGTGCGGACGGCGTGCGCAAGAAGTCCCGGGGTTGTAGAATGCCATGACCAACCGCCGGCTGCGACTCGTGGGTTAATAGCTTTGGCTAGAGCCTGCTCAAATGTTGTTATTCAGGTAATAGCAGTTGTCTATGACTCTAATGCGCGCAAGTAAATAAAGAAGGATAGGTAGTCATATAGAAAGGGAGCCTGTACCATATAGCTACACAGAACATATATTGTCAACAACCATAAAGGGGCCGAATAGTAGACAAATACAAATAGTAAGTAACACAAAAGTCTAAAATAACAATCACCTACTCCACTCGTGTACGAAAGAATGCTTTGGCAGGGGCCCTGAAATAGAAGGCCACGGCTTGCGCACTCAAAGCGCGAACACCGGCAGCCGAAGCGCCAGTTGCTGCATTGGTTCGGGGTTTTCGGCGGGCTATGTCTTCCGAATCCCGATCGGTCGAGGGGTTTCCATCAAAACTGGTACTAGGGAAATCACCAGAAGTAATGGACATGATTTTCGACAGGTGCGGTTGGGGACCACGGCTCCATGGGATGGCTGCGAGAGGTGCGACATTAAAAAAATGTTGGTTGGTAGCTAAGTGGTTTATTTCTTCACTGACACCCGCGTAGTGGCATCTATAGAGAAAATGGGCAATATCATGACCACGTCTCTATATATCGCAGTAGTATTATAATTAAGAAATGAATGGAGCCGCCGGCAGGTCAAGGGACCATAACGTGCACAGCAGACAGCCAGATATCTCAAGATGGATGATGCAACAAAAGATGTTTCTGTTCCTCACTATTAACGTACCTCACCACTCAACGCCCACCTCTTCCACTTTGTCAACCTTCCACTTCCAACCTCAACACCATGAGCAATGAAGCCTCTATTCAATTAGCACTGGAAGACTGCAAAAAAGTATGAAATTGACCAAAGCACCTTGTTGCGGTACCATAAAGGCCAGCAGCTCTCAAAGACTGAGGCAATCTCTAAGGGCAAGAAATCTCTCACTAATTCACAAGACATCCTTATCCAGCATATAAATCACCTTGCAGCCTGTGGTTTATCTCCTACACCCCAGATTATTCAAAATCTTGTATTTGAGATCACAAAACAAGAGTTTGGAATCAACTGGGTCTCTTGCTTCTGCAAACACCATTCAGATAAGCTAAAATCAGTCTATTTATAAACAATTGATCAGAAGTGATAAATTGTGAATAATACCTTGTATTTCCAACACTTCTATGAACATGTTAGTTTGAATTCAACATGTTGACTGGCTGACTGACTGGCTAGCTGACTGCCACTAGTTGAATGCATTGATCAAGAAGTATAATATTGAGACCTCAAATATATATAACTGTGATGAGAAGGGCTTTATAATTGAGTAAAGCCATGCAAGTAAATGCATTATTCTAGTTAAATCTCTGAGAAATAAGCAAATTGTGGCCACACAGAATGGAAATCAGAAATTCATCTTTTTAATTATATGCATTTGTGCAAATGACTCAGCTATTCCTCTAGCTCTTATTTTTAACAGTGGAGATAATATACAGGATACATGACTGGATGACTATAATTTAAAGAAGTAAATGATATATTTCTCATCATCTTTAAATAAATAGAGCAGTGATGAATTTGATCATCAGTGGCTAAAACATATATTTGATCAGAATATAAAGAAGAGCTATACTAGAAGACTTTTTATAATGAATCAGCATTCATCTTATATAAATATGAAATTTGTTGACTATATTGATTGTCATTAAATACTTCTAATAATTCTTCTATCACATTCAATGCTCTGTTTGCAATCTCTGAATGTTGCTGTTTTTGAGTCTTTGACAAAAATCTATTCAGATGAATTGAATCAGTTTCAACATCACTGCTTCATCTATTTCAATAGCAGAAAATATCACTTTTGAGAGCACTTTTAAAAGATCTGAAATAAAGCTCTTATACCTGCAAATATTGAAGCTGGATTTGAAGTGACTGGAATTTATTCATTTAATTCAGAGAAAGTGATGAAGAATTTGCACTTTATTATACCTCTCAAACTGGCTTTACTGCATCAGTCTATCTTTACTATAAATTGAGATTTATATTATATAATTAAGAGTATTAAGAAATATTATTCTTTGCTCTCTGCAGATGTTGAGCAAATTATCTATGTTAGTAAGTGACTAGTTATGAAAAATGAGCTCTTATAGCTTGAGAATCAAGGTCTTGCAAAGTCTTTGAAGAAAAAGCAGTGATAGCAGAAATGAGACAAGTCTCTAGATCTAGTTGACAAAAATCACTCTGATAAGACTCAGTTCTTCTCTTTTAGCAAAGTTAAGACTGCTCACAGACACATTGCTGAGCAAGAAGCTGAGAAAGATAAGAAGACAGCTCAGACTGTAGATCTTAGAAATAAATGTGAGATAAAGACTGCTTAGACTGCAGAATTCAAACTTCAATAAGCTATTGAAGTTGCTGAATGAAAGAAGACTTATGTGAAAACTGCTGCTGAATAAAAGACTGCTATCAAGGCAAAGAAAATCAAGACTACTGAGGCAAAGAAGATGAAGACTACTAAGATGAAGAAGTCAAAGACATAGAAGCAGAAGACTGTTGAAATCTCTCAGCTAGCTCTCAGACATCAATACAACATAATTTTTTCTGAACTAGATTTATTTACATCTTTCAGACTAGTCTTTCTAGAGTCTCTGAAGGCTTCAACACTCTTATCTAGCCAACTGACTGAATTGAACTCTCATTTATCTACTTTTCTAGCTATACTTTGTATCAGTCATTTTAGTCACTCTATCAAGTTCAAATATTATTTATTTTTCTAATCATACTAATTTTCTAGCTCTGTAGATCACACTCTTTCAATATTTAATAGATAATTTAATTTACTCTCATGGTTGTTGAGTTATTGAAGAAGTAAGTCTATGTACAGTATTTTTAGTAGAGTTGACATTGAGTGATAGTGAGTGTTGAGTGGTGAAATACATTAACTAATTAATAATCATGCCGCTATACAACTCACATCTTATATAAGTACATCATATCAAAATGATAAAAATACTGAAATGATAAAAATCTTGCAATTTCATTATCTTTATCATCTTCATCAATTAATAACTCATTATAATATCAAATAAGAATAAAAATATTAAATACCATATTCAAAAAGCTGTTACTTATCATCAAAAAAATTCAAATTTCAAAATACTGTCTCTGTTACAAGAATTTGAGATTTCTTATCAATATTTTTAAGTGTATATCAATGAAAGAAATCTGAATACTGCAAAGATTTCAGTTAACAAAAGATTAAATGAGAGTCAGAAGAACATAATTAAATAATGAGTCAAGCTATTTGATGAAAAGAATTATTCTCTCATAGTTAAACATATTAAAGATTTCATAAATTCAATACTCAGATATCAGTATATAGATTCTACTACCTCTTCTTCAAAAATCAGCAAGATATGAACTTATAAATTTATTGAATATCTATTTGAATATAAGAAAATAAAACAGAAGTTAATAAACTCAAAGAGAGTAACAGTTAAAAATATTGAATATATCAATATATGATTTGAATATCTTTAAATTCTATTTAAGCAGTATCAATTTCACATCAGTGACATATACAACTTCAATGAAATTGAATTTCAAGAAGAATAAAAATGTGAAAAATGAGTTATAACTGCTTTTAAAGAAGTTAATTTTATCATTTCTTCATTCTTTTCAAGAGATTTGATTACAGTTATTGAATATATATTCATAAATAATTATATGATTACATCATTGATAATCTTGATCTTCAAAACACATTTGAAGAATTGATATACATAGACAGATTTACTCAGCAATTATAGAATTGTTATATCAAGTATTAAATTTACAAATAATGAGATTGAATTTGAATAACTTAAACATTTCAATACTGCTATAGAAAAGAGATAAAAGAGAAGTCATCAATTACTTTTAATAAATAATTATAAATCTCATATCATTAAGAAGTTTATATAATACATAAATCTTCATAAGATAATTCTATATAAATTTTTATTATATGTCACTCATTTGCTACAATCTCTGAATAGTCTATCATTTCAACAATATAAGTATTATTATTCAAAGACAGTCAACTATACTGCATATTATGATTTTATTAAATATGAAAAATAGTAGTTTCTACAAGATCTCTTAACTATGCAAAAGCAGATCTTTAAATCTGATATAATAGCTGCAGAATAAGCTTAATATGATATATATTCATAAAATTCTGACTTAGTTCTTGACACTTTTAAGCAGTGAATCTCATCATCTTCTTCACTGCAAATTTATAAAGATAAGAATAATTCAGATTACATATCTATCTTTTCTTCTTAGCTATTCTCATCAAAAACAATCTAAAAGCATAAACATCATATTAATATTGTAGAAAACATCATATAAAGTATTAAAAATACTCTTGATTTGAAATCATTTATCTTGATATATTGTTTGAACAAGATATTCAAAGCAATTCTAATCAATATAAAACTTAATGAGTAATAGATTACTGAATTACTGAATTAGAGAACTTTCTCAACATTAGTAAACACTGTAGAGCTAAAACAACTCATCATCAGATTCAAGTAGAGAAAGTCCTCACTATTAAAGATGTCAATAGAAAAATCAAGCAGTGTAAGAATAATGAAGCTGAAAAAGAGCAGAATAAGAAGTAATAGAGACTTGAAGTTAATCTTATGAAAATTAACAATAATTTATTCATATCACTGATAGAAAAGGAATTAAATCAATTTAGAGATGGCACACATACTTAGAATGATGTAGATAATCTTTTTATTATAGATTAGCTACTGATTATTGATATAGAGTGCAATAATAAAAATGTGATTCAAGATTTTTATTGTTTCAGTGTTTTTATCATTTTGGTATGGCGCACCCACACGAGGTGTGGGTTGCGCAGCGGCACGATTAGGGAATAACTTTAGGTCAGAGTGCAAACACAGCAAACATACCATTTAAGTCACGGGAACGCTAATGTGCCAGAGCGTCAGAGCGGCAGAATCCTCACCGACTTTGGGCTGAACGCGTTCCTTCACGTCTTAACCAACCAAAAAGGACAGTGACTAAAGCTTCAACTTTCTCCAAACGTCGCTCTGAGATCATCCTTCTTTTTTTACTCCCCGCTTTTCTCTCAAGGCCCTCAGCTACCCATTTCTCACTCAGCGCTACGGCCTCGTCTCTGTTGTATAGAGTATAGCACAATACTATTTTGCGCCTGACTCCTGCAGCTCATTCACCTAGCTACTAGCTATCTTGAATCTTCCAGCCTCCAAGGGCTTTGGCCAACATGGCGGAAGAGATAAAAATCGACAAGGTGACGTTTTTCAATCGCCTCTCTGCTCTCTACTCGGCATGGAGAGCAGACAAGCGATCGTCAAATCCTGTCTTTGCTGGTTCTAGCTCGATTGTGATTCTCATGGGGAAAACAGAGGAGGCAAATTCCTTTCAAAAGAATAATGCTATGCACGTAAGTGATGTGACTGCATGGTGGTGTCACTGGTGATTGTAAATTCCCGATCGATCTGACCAATTTCATTGTCTTGTCTAGTTCTGGCTTCTTGGTTACGAGTTTCCTGCAACTCTCTTCGTTTTTACAACGGAGGCAATGTATGTGGTAACGACCGCGAAAAAAGGTAGCAGCTAAAACACTCTTCAATCACTTTTTTCTGCAAATTAATAACTGGAGCGCTAACTGGTATCCATGATAGCGAAACATCTTGAGCATTTAAAAGGGGGGAAGATACCGGTTGAAATTCTGGTCACCACCAAGGATACCAACCAAAAAGCCAAGGTTTTCGAGAAATGTCTAGATGTTATAAAAAACGCTGGAGTGGGTGGCCTCTATACCTATTAGCAATTTTCAGGTTAATCCTAACACATAATTTCCAGAAGAAAGTTGGTACCCTGCCCAAGGATACCTCCTCTGGTCCATTTGCAGATGAGTGGAAACGAGTCTTCAGCGAGATCTCGAAAGAAGTGGAGGAAGTTGACATTGCTCCTGCATTGTCATCCGTTGCTTTCGCTGTGAAGGGTCCAGAAGAGCTAGTAAGCAGCATCTCTTATAATCTGACTACGATAAAACAGCTCCTAATGAGATTTTCAGATATCGATGCGAAATGCGTCCCGCGCCTGCAGTGGCCTCATGTCCGAATATTTCGTAGATGAAATGTCCCAGCTTCTTGACGAAGAAAAGAAAATTACACATCGAGCATTGGCAGCTAAAGTGGATGCGAAAATCGATGACGCTAAATTTTTCAAAAAGCTTGCCAAACTCCCCGCTGAGTTCGATCCTCAGCAAATCGACTGGGCTTATGGCCCTGTTATCCAAAGCGGCGGTAACTACGATCTCCGGTTTACTGCAGTTTCAGATTCTAACAACCTCCATACTGGTATTATCATCGCCGGATTTGGTATTCGCTACAAGACATACAGCTCAGTAATCGCTCGCACGTTTTTGGTCGATCCCAGCAAATCCCAAGAGACCAATTATGCATTCCTACTCAGCATTCATGAGGCTGTTATGAAGGACGTTCGCGATGGAACTGTGGCCAAGGACTTGTATAATAAGGCACTTGGAATGATCAAGGCCAAAAAATCAGAGCTGGAAAAGCATTTCCTCAAGAATATCGGCGCCGGAATTGGAATAGAATTGAGAGATTCCAACATGGTACTTAACGGAAAGAACAACAAAGTCCTTAAGAGCGGAATGACTCTTTGCGTTATGATTGGCTTTACCGATATTCAGGATCCGGATCCAAAGGACAAAAAGAATGAAACATATTCCATGGTGGTCACAGATACCGTTCGTGTCGGCGAAAGTGGGCCTTATATCTTTACGAAGGATGCAGGGGTTGACATGGATTCAGTGTCATTCTATTTCGGCGACGAAGAGGAGCCTCAGAAGCCAAAGGTCAAACATGAATCTGCAAAGTCCAGCGCTATCGCGAGCAAGAACATCACGAAAACCAAACTGAGAGCGGAGCGACCAACACAAGTTAACGAAGGTGCGGAAGCCCGTCGACGTGAACATCAAAAGGAACTGGCCGCAAAGAAGCTCAAAGAAGGCTTGGAGCGGTTTGCTGGAACTACGGGAGATCAGAATGGAACATCACAGAAAAAATTCAAACGATTTGAATCTTACAAGCGAGACAACCAGCTCCCAGCTAGGGTTAAGGATTTGACTGTTTACGTTGATCACAAGGCTTCATCAGTGATCGTTCCCATTATGGGCCGGCCCGTACCTTTTCATATCAACACCATCAAAAACGCAAGTAAAAGCGACGAAGGTGAGTATGCATACTTACGCATCAACTTCCTCTCTCCCGGTCAAGGAGTTGGTAGGAAGGATGACCAGCCGTTCGAAGATCCATCTGCACACTTTGTAAGGAACTTGACTCTGAGGTCAAAGGACAATGACCGCCTCGCCCAAGTTGCACAGGATATCAGTGAGCTTCGCAAAAATGCTCTGAGACGCGAACAAGAAAAGAAGGAGATGGAAGACGTGGTTGAACAGGATAAGCTTATTGAAATTAGAAGTATGAACACTTGACCTTGTCCATCTAGCTTGGAATTTTAGCTTGGATTTCACTGACCCAATTGCTCAGATCGCCGGCCTGCGAAACTTCCAGATGTGTATCTTCGACCGCCCTTGGATGGCAAAAGAGTACCAGGCGAAGTCGAAATTCACCAGAATGGTCTCCGATATCAGTCCCCTTTGCGTAGCGAACATGTTGACGTTCTTTTCAGCAACGTCAAACATTTGTTTTTCCAACCATGTGCACACGAAATGATTGTTATCATCCATGTTCACTTGAAAACTCCCATCATGATCGGTAAACGGAAGACCAAAGACGTTCAATTTTTTCGGGAAGCTACGGAAATGCAGTTTGATGAAACCGGGAATCGCAGACGCAAACACCGCTACGGAGACGAAGAAGAATTTGAGGCTGAGCAAGAAGAAAGACGCCGTCGGCTTGCGTTGGACCGAGAGTTCAAGGCATTTGCGGAGAAGATCTCTGATGCGGGTAGGGATGAGGGCGTTGATGTTGACGTACCATTCCGAGAAATCGGCTTCAACGGCGTTCCTAATCGCTCGAACGTGCTGATACAGCCAACCACGGATGCAATTGTACAGCTGACCGAACCTCCATTCCTGGTAGTGACATTAAGCGAAATCGAGGTTGCCCATTTAGAGCGAGTCCAGGTACGTTGATACACCCATTTCAGAATTTTGAAGTCTTAGCTGACAATCCATCCACCAACTAGTTCGGTCTCAAAAATTTCGACATGGTGTTTGTTTTCAAAGACTTTCATCGACCACCAGTTCACATCAACACCATCCCCGTGGAATCATTGGAAGGTGTCAAGGACTGGCTTGACTCGGTCGATATTGCCTACTCAGAGGGACCCCTCAACTTGAACTGGGGAGCTATCATGAAAACAGTCACCAGCGATCCGCATGGGTTCTTCGTTGATGGTGGTTGGTCATTTTTGGGCCAGGACTCTGACTCGGAGGATGAAGAGGAAGAGGAGGAATCCGCCTTCGAGATGTCAGATTCCGAACTCGCTGCTACTGATGAAAGCTCTGAGGATGATAGTGAGTTCGATGACGAAGCTAGTGCAGAGGCCAGCGAGGCTTTTAGTGGTGATGATGATAGTGGCGGTGAAGACTGGGATGAGCTTGAGAAGCAGGCGAAGAAGAAGGACCGCGAAAGCGCGTTGGATGATGGCGAAAAGGGGAAGAAACGGAAACGGTAAATTCGAATCCTTCGTCTAATTTCATCTCGAGATGTTATTTTATTTCGTGAGATGCAGGTAAACGCGATCAAAGCTTTGTCTGTATATTTCATTTTTGTTCATTTTTGCTGTTTTTTCAAAGTCTCTTTAATATTAGGTGGGAGGAGAGAGATCTGGGACACTGGACAAGACAAAAATGGTTTATGGATTAACACAATCTTTTATGAATGCTCTTCTACTTTATTCTAGGTCAATTAATTTGGGGGGTTTTAAGAAAAGCAGTCATTTCTTGATTAAATCTAGTTCCCCGAGTGATAATGATGATACCTCTCATTATTGAAGTTCTGTTTACTCAGGGAGAATAGTAACTACCCTATTGCAGCTCTAAGTCACATGGCTGTAATTTAAGTTGTTCTTATACAGTAACAGTAACCATTTTTGATCGTCATTTAAAATGATTATTCCAGGTGTGTCCCTGTACGAAGTTTGAATATAAGATTTGAGCTCATGCTCCTCAGTCACTGTAAAACGCGTCTTGTAGTTAAATTACCCCTAGCTATCATAAGATACATAAAGAAGGACAGCTGATAAACTACTATTATTTTGTAAGAGTTAATTCAGGCAGTTACTTCATGTACAATTGATCACATTATATATCCACTTTCAACATTCTCAGTGCATCTTCTTAATCTGTCAAGTAGCTATATATCATACTTTAATACAATTCCTCGCAACTAGTAGAGAGTTGTTTTCTCAAAGAAGAGAGATATGTGAAGAGGGTTATATATATACCCTTCTGTGTGCTTTGAGCTTCGTGGACTACATTGAGTTGATTCATAGGAGATACAACAAGCTCTCATTCCAGCACGTTAGTCATAAGAGTCTACAGTATAAACTTAGTAATTGAGGTAGTCAAGAAGGCCCAACGCTACAAGCATGTACCGCATACTTTGTCATGTTCATCATGCTATAAACCGGATTTCGTAAACTGCTACCTATCTAAAAAGAAAAGAGAAAACCACAGAGAAGGCAAAACACCAAGGATAAGACAATATACAAACAAGTAGCCTAATCATGCATAATTTCAGACAGGAACCCAGTCGAGTTCTTCCACCTATGAACCAAAAAAAGTTTCTTAAAAAAAAAGAAAAAAAAAGATGAGGGAATATAAAAAGGGCATAAACAAGGAACATTAGAAAGAGGGGGGCCAAGGGATGCTGAGCAGCCAAACCTCAATGCATTAAAACTCCAAATCCCATTATCACCAATGAACATCCCATCAACGATGAACGAAAAATAGGAAAAACGTTGACAAAACTTTGAAGGAAAGAAACAAAATTTCTACAATTAATCACGCCCTGCTACCCAACCAGGTGGCTCTCCCAGTTGCAGTGGCCGTGCTTGACTGCTCGTTATTCCACGTCAGATAGGTGTGATCACCAAGTTTCCTATTGAGCAGTGGCCAGGGTTAGCAGAGTGCGCATCTGATGGATAGTTAATGATATGCATAGAGAGGACGAACCGTGGCTTGATCAAATGCGCCACAGTGAACAAGGCGCCGAGGATGATGCAAATTCCACCAACTACTACATATGCAATACCCATAAATGGGTTTCTACCGCCCATCACAGTATTTGTGGATATCACGATGGACTTCGTTCCTCCGTAGACGTTCACTGGGAAATCTAGCGGGTAAATGTTTGTCAGTAAAACGTGAGGCTGAAGGAAAGAGAAGAGAGATGGGAAAGGGAGACTGTACAATCATCAATGTCAATTCGATAATTACCAGCACGCATGATATCATGGTCATTTCTCCTAGCCAGCTTGCTGAAGGTAGGCAAACCTGCAGTTCTCATCCATACCTGAAATTCTTCATCCTCATGCAAATCCGGAGGAGGGGCACTCTCGGTGTAGCCGAAAGGGTATCGTTCCCGCCAGTTAGGAGGAGGCCAAATCTGATCCGGCTTGTATTCTGTCTTCTTATATAATTCTTTGTCGCTGCTCCACGAAATTCCCTTATTGGTCATATTATAAAATTGATTATCTGAAATACCAACAAGAACAGGTGACGAAAAGCTGTCGTTGAAAAGAGAATTCGCAATGAGGCCACAGGGATAATATGCCTTCTTGGTTTCCGGGTCAATCCGGAGCGGGTCACAGGGACTCCCACTTATTGTGCTATTCGAGAGAGCTTTGCCCTTGAGCTGGTCCAGGTCTAAAGATTTCACATATCGCCGGTGGTTTTGGTAGAAGTTGGTGAGGCGGTAATAAAGGAATACCGATGGCCCCAGGTCGTTTGGAATCTCAAAAAATATGGAGCAGACAGTTGTGGGCAAGTATAAACCGCCCGGTATAGTTCTATTGACGCCATCTTGTCGCTTCCAAGTTGGCGTATTAATTTCTCGGGAACGGAATGACGAGTGATATTTGGCTGGACTAATGCTGCTTGGTTGGCCAATGGGAGCCATAGAAGCGCAATCCGTGTAATCGATCACAACTTCTTGGACCTATGCCGCAAGGTGAATTATATCAGTGAGCAATCGGGAACCGGCGAATTCAAATGCTCCGCCAAAAACAAATGGGACCGGGGCAAGTGCGTACTATAGAACTAGCCCATATCAGTAGCCCTCCGATCGGGGCAAATATCACTCCAACGATGAAAAAAAGGGGAAGAACGGTTTTTGGAGTTAAGATAGGCCTGCAGTAAAAACCGCGTCAGCAGCATGTTCATGTTTACTCCGAATTACTTGGAGAAGCCGTATCCTTCGAAGCAGAGTCAAAGGGCCAAAGGGCTAGGATAGCGAGAGAAAGGCCACTCACTGCCAGGCTTTCAAACGTTGTTGCCGGAATGCCGTGTCTGAAATGGTTGCAACGGGATAACCTTGTCAGCTGGTCCACTGTTCATGCATATATTTGCTACCCTGGTAGCGGGGGAAATCATCAAAGAATAAAGCGCACTTGCTGGTCTCCGACTTTTTGGCTTTTTCTCGTCCTTGGCATTGTGAGGATCCTGTTCATCAACCGAATCCTGTTCTGAGGGTGCCATGGAGGGTACGATGGGAGCAGCGCGGCCTAAAAGGAGGAATGGCTCGAAATGTATGAGGGGATTTATGGTCCAAGTCCACTAAGGAACTTGTCAGGCTTCAGTTGTGGTGCTGACTTTCTCCTCGTTGTTATATTTCCTCGTCTTCCGCCTCTGTTTCCGTTTCCAGTCCCGATGGTTGCTCTATATGTTGGTGAAAGGACGGTGACGATGGTGGTGATTTGATCGTATTGAAGGGACGCTGACTAATAACTTATTCATCCATCACTGCAGTTCAATAGCGTGGATTGACCAACTTAATGATTTCCACCCCACCCAATGATTTTGTAAATTTTATCTCAATTCTTCAACTTCAAACCTCAATGGTTAACAAAGTTGCAATTCAGCTTGCAATTGAAGATTTAAGATCATAAGATATTTCCAAATTATAAGCAACCTGCTTTGAAATATAAAATCAGTCTAACTATATTGATATGATAATATAAAGATAAATAGATCTACAGATTTGAAAATAATATTAAAATATTACAAAAATTAATTAACTTATAAAAAGAAATATTTGTTCAGCATATAAATCATCTAGCAGATCATAGCACTGCTTCTACATCTCAAATAGTGTGAAACTTAATAACTGAATTCATTAAAAATTTATTAAATAATATTGAATAAATTAATTTATCAATATCATAAATATAATAACTTAGTCTATAGATATGATAATAATAAGATAAAAACTCAATTTATCTATCTACTAGATATCTGTGATGAGAATACTAAACTGAGAATTAGAATATTAAAATGAATAAGCAGACTGATATATATAGATGATTAAGAATTAGAGCAGATTAATCTAAGTAACTGAATATAATTGAGAATTAGAGTAAATCAATCTAAGCAATTAAATATGATTAAGATTGAAATAGATGAATCTTATCTTATATTATCAGTGACTGCATCATAACAATAAAAAGAAACTAAAAAGTATTTATTTACATATAATTGATTAAAAGTAATAGATTGCAAATAATTCTAACTACTTTAAAGATTATTTCAAGTAGATTAATTAAGTATTTACTATTTTTTAATCAGATTTACAAACTGTTAATAAAATAACTTTAATTTTATTTAACTTATTTTATCATAAAATATAATTTTGAATTTTTTAATTTATTATATCTATTATTGCTCATAAATTCTATAGAGCTATTAAATAAATTTATACATTATTACAGCGCGCTATTGCTGATAATATGAGATAAAATTGATCTGTTCTGATCTCAATTATATTCAATTGCTTAGATTGATCTACTTTAATCTCAATTATATTCAGTTGCATAGATTAATTTACTTTAATTCTCAATTATCTACATATATTCAATTACTTATTTATTCTCATATTTTAATTCTCAGTTTAGTATTCTCATTGCAGCTATCTAATAGATAGATAAATTAAGCTTTTATTTTATTATTATCATGTCTATAAACTGAGTTATAATATAATACTAAACTTCTCTTTCTCAAAAAGCTTTAGAAGTTAAGTAGCAGATCTATATATTTATAATTATATAAGCTTTTCAATGATTATGACTGTGCTAAGTGCTTAAATCTATATTTTTTTTATTTTTTCTTATTGTTTTTCTTTCTATCATGAAAGCTTTTCTTGCTGCTATTTATCAAAAATTTAAATATATTATTTAAAAGTCTTATAATCAACAGTTTCAGATAATTATAAACAACTTCTGATCTTAATTCTGTCTGAAGCTTCTACTATTAGATCTTAAATAAATCTCTAACAGTCTATATTACTAAGTTAAATATATTTTTTATAACATTAAAGCTTAAACTGTATATTAGTCTGTAACTGTATAGCTTAACAGTTAAATTTTTTTAAATTTATAAAAAATTTTTATATATTGTTTTAACAGTTAACTTTTAATTTTTTATTCTATTCATTCTTATCATATACTTCTCAGCAATCTGCTTCAATGGATTTACTTTAATTATCAGTCTTGATTATTCTGTCTGCTTTGATCACTCTGCTTAAATTATCAGCTTTAATTACTCTGCTTTGATTATTCTGCTTACTTTAATTACTCTGCTTTAATCATTCTGCTTATTTCAATTACTCTATTCACTTTAATCACTCTACTCATTATAATTTTATAAATATAAATTGAAATTCAACTTAATACTTTTAAATTTAATAATTATTAAGTTGAAAACTATTAATTTCATTTATATTCTTCTAAGCTCTATCACTATTAAACTGGCAAATAAATCCCAGCTTCTATATAATAATATACTAATAATAACTCAAATATTAATAAAATATAAAAAAAAATTTATAAGAATCTAATAAAAAATAGCTAAGATAATCAATTTACTAATAAGTTTAATGAATTTTATTTTCCTCTTTTCTTATATTAAATAAAGCTACTTGAAAGCAAGTATTTATTTTAAATTAAAAGATAATATTTGTAAAGGGTTAAGCTCTAAGAACTAAAGGCTAGTCCTCTTATATAACAAGGATGAATTGCTTGAGAAAGAAAAAAAAAGAATGAGATGAAAACTTAAGCTTAAGTAAGCTTGCATAACATGATCATGTGTACACATACAAATGATGACTAGGCTAAATCAGCCAGTCAGAGTGAATCTAGAGGTTCAACCTCTTATAATACCTCTCTTCTCCCTCTTTGTTGCAGATCTTTATGACTATTTAAAGCTCTCTTTACATCTAATTTTGCCTGCTGAGAGGCCTACCAAGCATTTAAAGCCTTTGCTTCTTGTAGGAGACTTGCGTCATTCTATGTACACTCAGCCCAATCTATCTATTTAACAAGGTATTGCTTTTTTCTCTGATAGATTCATTCACTCTGAATTTTCTCAATCTCAAACTCAGATCCTTCCAGAGTCTCTATAGCAGGTGGTTGCTAGTCAGTTTGCCTCTGACTAGGCAGGGAATTTATCACTGCAGCATGTAGAAGCTTTATATTAAAGATATTGTGAATGCTGAGTGAGACATTCAATCAGTAAGCATGAAATTCTATCTTTTCTAGTATAGTATATTAATTGTATTTCATATTCAGCTTCTTGCACAGATGATTAGTTCTCATGTTCTCTAAGCTCAACCAGATCTTATCTCTGGGTTGAAAGTTTGAAGCTGGGTCTCTTCATCTATTCATGTATTTCTCTTGAGATTGCTGAGCATCTGTTATTTTTACTTGAGATCACTTCAACACTTTGCAGACCTTCCTCATATAATCATCTGCAAACTTAATGAGATTACATAGCAGTTCAATGAGAGGTACATCAGCTATATCAATGGAGGAGACATGGAAAAGATGCATTAAAAAAAATGAGCTCACATCTGTTGAGACAGCATCTCTATTATTGATGACCAGCTCTGCTAGAGAGAGTCATTCACACCAGTCATTCTGTTGAAAGCTAATGTACTTGTGTAGATAGATTTCTAGAATCTGATTCATTTACTCTGTAGCTCTGTCAGTCTCTAAGTAATAGACTGTGAAGAGTCATCTCTTAATGTCTAATTTTTCACATATCTGAGTTCAAAACATGCTTGTGAAAGCTGACCCTTAATCTAATACTACCATCTTAGAGATGCTATGTTGAGAAATGATATTGTGAAGAAATACTCTAGTCACTGTCTCTGCATCAGTTTTCTTAACTGCTTTTAATATAACTCTCTTGATTAGTCAGTCTGTTATAATTATGATGTTCATATATTCTTTAGAGCTCAGTAAGTTCATAATAAAGTCCATGAAAAGCTTCTACTATATGTGTTCAGAAATGAGGAGAGGCTTAAGCAGTCTCTGACATTGATCTCTTTATACAGTGTTTGATCTGCAAAAATGACAGTTTCTGATCATTCTTCTTACATCAGCAGCATAGCCTGGCCAGTAGAACTCACATCTTAGAACTTCTGCTATTTGCTCTCACCTAGGATGATCAGTAAGAGATGAGTCATAAGCCTCATGCACTAATCTGGTTTGAAGAGGTTTGAAGTCTGGCACTCACTTATGATCTTGAAAGAGAAGCTCTCTGTTCTTGTTTAAAGAGCACTCAGAGACAGAGGCCTTAATGCTGAGTTCAGAAGAAAATCTGAATCTTCTCTCATAAAAAGTTTGCTTTAAATGCTGCAGAATTATATCATTTTTATGAGTCTCATTTCACTGAGCTTGAAGAGACATCTCAGGTTCTACACTGGCAGCAGTCATTATTGGTTCCATTTCAAATATCAGTATATTAAACTTAAGTAGTTGAGCTTGTCTCTGCTTGATTCTCTCATCATTAGTACTCTGTGACATGTTCTGCTCTCTTCATGATAGAGTGTCTGATTCAGCATTCAACTTTTCTGACTAGTAATCAATTCTAAAGTTGAATTAATAGAGGATATCTATTCAATGTAGCTGTCTTTCATTTAATCTTTGTGTAGTCATGAAGTATTCTAGATTCTTATGATTTATGAGGATCTTGAATTTCTTTATACTTTGTAGCTCAGTGTTTTATTTCTTTAAACACTCAATTATTACTAATAACTTCTTATCATGAATCTCATAGTTGCATTCCGCAGGTGAATACTTGTGAGAGAAGAAGACACATAAGTGTAGAATACTCTTCTCATCATATTATAGCAGCACTTCTTCTGAAGTGTAATTTGAGAAGTTCATTTTCAATATAGTCTCACAGTCAGAGTTGAATTGAAGCAGAATTGAAGTGAAGATAAACATTGATTTTAGATGCTTAAAAGTTTCCTCAGCCTTGCTCATCCACAAAAAAGAAATATTCTTGTATGTAAGAATCATCAGTGGAGTTGTGATCTTTGAGAAATCTCTAATAAATCATCTATAGAAATTGACAAAGTCTAAAAATCCTCATACATCTTTAAAAGTAGTAAATATTGCTTATTTCAAAACAGCTTTAACCTTCTTCAGATTCATTCATATACTCTTACTCACTTCAATGATGAATTCAAGATATTTTGT